GAGACGAGTATAACACCAAGAGCTCTAATCTTTCGCCATAGGTCTTGGAATGTAGACCATTGACCGTCTTGGTAGTCATTCTCTGCGGATGTCCAAGTGTCTTCCGATCTCGCTGCAGCCATAGGTTCCAGGCCTGAATTGAGTACTCGGTGTATGGACGGATATATGTGGCCAACAGAGGTGGAAACAAAGCCGGCTCAAACGATCCAAAAACACGTTTGAGCAGTCCAACTTGTTTTACCGTCATGGATGNTGCCACGGAACAGTTTGTGGAGCAACTCAAGTCTGCGCGAACCACTGCTCTCAGATCTTTCTGGGATGGAGCATTAGGCAGACTTTGGTGTCCGAGAGTGTACGAATAACGAACAGGGTGACGTAGTGATAAAACTTTACGTTTGATAACGTTGAATTCCAAATCATTGGAGACAGACATACCATCTGTGGGCTTCGTCAACGGTGTTCTGGAGATCAAGTGAATCTTCCGGTTTTGCTTTTGTTCTCCCTATTCTGGCATCGTTCGCAAACAGCAGAGTTTGTGCTCCGAGGACGTCTGGAAGATCATTTATAAAGGCAAGGAAAAGACGTGGGCCTAGAACAGATCCCTGTGAAACCCCATGGTTGACATCTATTGGATCAGAAAGTGAATCGGAAACCCAGGAGCTTTGCCTTTATCCTTTCGAGAGAAAAGATAATGTCTGTCAGTAATGGGTAAGGAATATGTTCCAGCAAACAGGGAAGTACGAACCCAGTGTTACTAGGCCCATTGACCACTTGACAGTGCTGCAGTCTAAGCATTTCTGCAAACTCCTTGGTTTTTACTGAAACACGTCCTGCTGAATTTAGTATCGGAACGCCGTGTTTGACTTTCCGGGAAGTGTTTACATGGTAGCGTAGGGTTTGCGATAAACTTCCTCCCCAGCATTTCGTGATAATTGTGCTTGTCTTCCCGCACCAAATTTGTACAGTGATTTCGAAGGAGCCTGTAAGCTTCCCAAGTACTGGGGCATGGACAGAGTTTGAACTCCCTCCAGTGAAAGTCCCTTTGCATTATCCATTTTCTGGTCCGGCTGCGAATTGCTGATTTTCGGACAGCCGGTTAGCATAGACGCTTCACGGTTATAACAGCAATCCACAAATGTTGTGTTGCTGTTAGTAAATTTCCTCCAGGATTCCAGGGATTGCAACCTATATCAGGGGAAATCCACTGGATTCCAGGTTGTTTAGTCCTGCATAATCAGTTATGCTGCGAAAGCGATTACTGATGCACAGCAAACGTATTCGAACAATAATGCAGCGCGATCACTGCGCCCCAACGGAGTTGCGATTGCAAATGATTCGACTATCAATCCTGCGTTTGTCAGTACTAGATCCACAGTTAACGAAATTTGGTTGGTTCCAAACCTGGTGGGTTCCTTCACATGATTGTACAACGAATGTGACTCGATGAACTGCTTTAACTGTCGTTCAAATGACGTATACGATGTAGTCACGTTGCTCAGCTTTGGACGGTGGAAGTCACCCATAACAAGAACGTGGGTGAGATTCAATAACAAGAAGTGCCATTAACTGAATCTGCTGACGAAGAAGGGCGATGAACCACACCAATCAGCCCGATATCATGTTGTGTTAGCTTCAATTTACACCATAACGTATCGTAAGCAGCGAACGGGTACTCAATTTGCTCGCATTGCATGCTGTTATGATAGTAGAGGAACACGCCCCCACCTAGCGTTGGACGATCACGCCTCAATAGCTCCATGCCCGGTAATCGCAGCTCGGAGTCCAAAATGTCATCACCCAGTTTCCAGTTACGGTAATGAGATCCCATCGACCGGTTCGACAACGAAGTTCCACTTCTGGAAACTTACTGAAAACCCCTGAGCATTGGTATAGAAACAGTTCAGTCGTTGTCGGTGCAGAAGTCCCTTGAAGCTTAGGGACGTAATTTGGCCGACCTCGTCGGCGGTCGGCAGACGTTTTTTGCCGTAAGTGTTTGTTGGGTTTTGTTTGATAGGGTCGGAGTGGAGCATGAAGTTTGCGGTGTTTCACACGCAATGTGATTGACATTTTAGACTGGTGGACAATTTTTCGGTCCTGAATTCAGTGTCGGTCTTACGCGTAGTTCTTTGGTTTTCAACGTCTTCACTGGCCAGCGTCACACGAAGTAACCTGGATTCCCCTATATGTGGTGATGTCGATCGGCACCAGAGACACGTGAGGCTCACCGGCTTGACTTCTACACCCATTCGGGCACATACCGCTATTCAGCGACTCAGCTCGTCCTGTTGCCTCTCTCTCAATGGTTGACTTGTGGTTTCTGGGAGATTTGTGCAAATTACCGTGAGTGCAGTGGTGCCACCTACTCTCGTGTTCACTTGTGACGGTATAGTAGCTTGCGACTGACATTTAGGTGGCGGTACTTTGACTAAAGGTATCGAAACTTCGACCGCTGGTTTCCTCGTGGCTATTGGAGAGGGAGTGGTGCTCGCTAACTCTTGGTTTGTCTTGTTAAAAACAATCAGTAAAAGATTGTCAAAGAAAATGCACTAATGTTATCCTCTTTTCCCGAAGATGAAGACAAAATTTGATGCCCCTTTTGGGCATAGACCACCTGCACTCACAATCAAATTTGTGGTGAAAGATCTCCCAAGTGGCACTGGGTTTACAGCACCACCGTCCGCCAATTCTTACTCATTCCGGTGCTCATCGAAGAACAATGTCTCTATGGCTATAGAGTGCTCAGCGCACAGCCGTACGGAATAAAAAGGGATTGGTAAAGCCACCAAACACCTGGAACTATGAACCAAATAGCATGAATTTCTAGGATGAACTTCGATTGTTCTGATGATCCAGTGAGAAAATAATCTATTTGAGCTATAGGAAAACATTAGAATAATCAATCTGCGGTGAAGGGTGATGTGAATTATAATTGGTTTTACTCATCTAGTGCCTTTTAATACGTATCATACAAAAGACCAGACACTTATCTGAGTTATAACTTGGTATTTCATTAATTCAACCTAAAGGATGAATGTGCACGTTCGACGTAAACACTTGTGATTATGCTGATATCAAAAGCATCGTTTTATGGCTATTGTTTTCTGACATGAAACCATAGTAATTTTAGCAGTCCTGCACGCATCGACCTGATGTTTTGATCACTGTCCATATGGTTGTTTATCAGACGTGAACATTAGGGATTCATTCTAATAAATCTGCGCAATTTAATGAGGTCAAGGTCAATGAAGTCCAGCTTCCTGAGTGACGAACAGATCACGGTATTCTACTCACATGTTATACTCTAAGTCACTCAAGTTACCTCCTGTAGGATGGAGCCAGGGTACTTGGTAGTTCAGTCGGGACAAACTTGAATCGTCGTTCCGCTTTTGGTTGCAATCACCGATTAAACCTTTCATGACATCCACTAAATACCAGCTACAAAAATTTGAAACATTTAATAGTCCTGAAGCGTGACCGATGCACAACAAATCTACAGGGATACTCAAATGTTTTGACCCAGTATCCCTGGTGAGAATCCAGCAGCAGTCTTTCTTTATACACTGATCACTGAAAGCACGGTCAATTGGTCAACGAAAGAAGCATAAATATACTATTACTACTATCCAAATGTGGATTCAAATAAAATGCAACAAAGCTATTCTTTCAGCAAGTTCTCATAAGTCAAGCATAGTCCGTTCCTTTTGCTTTAAAATCTCAAAATGTCTTTAAAGGATATTGCTAATCTGCGTTATATTCTACGGGGAGCTGAGATTTTCAATTTCTGTCTCCGATGCCTTTTATTCCAAAAACAGAACAGGAGACGCTGGTCGGTGGTGTCCCGGTGGTAACATCACCAATTATCAGCTCGGCGGACGTGTTCAAATTACAACATCACAGCCTGTCTTACCCCATTGATTGTTATTTAGCAGCCCTCTGATTGGTCGTTTATCCTTTCTTTGTATACTCAATAAAAGGAAGTGAAATGAAAATGAAAATGAATACACCCGAATTTTGATCTTGACAAACTGTTTGAAATCACAGAGGAAAATGTACACTATGGCAGGTGCTGTGGTGCTTTAATGTAACCGTGGGTTTCTTATAAACATAAAGTATTCACTGAGTGTAGAAATTTCACAATTTTAGCAAAATTTTAATTTTACAAGCGCGTCTACTAAAGTGGTTCGGGGACCGGTTTTTCTGCGAAATAATGTGAATGCGGAAGTCGAATTCGTACGATCGCAGCTGATTGACATCCTTCCAAATGTGACTAACACCCTGTTTGGTGCTATCAGAACAGCAGTGAATAAAATCACGCACGGTCTCACTTGGGGAAACTGCATAACCAAAGTTTATCAAGGAACATGAATCGGCTGGTTAAAAATGAGAACCACGAGGGCCATTTTGAGTGCAATCACAGCACATTTCACAGACAACGGACACCAGGTAAGCGAAGAGGCATTCATCCCGCTTGTTTTTTCAATACTCTTATTTGCTTTTCCCTCCCCATTCCGATTCACTCATATGAAACGTTTTGTTTCATATATTTCCACATGCACGTCACCTGCTCAGCGCATATTCCTTTCAACACTATCTGTTGCACATATGTTCACTTGCTGGCTTTTTTCATAGCTTCATAATAAAAATGTGAGTTATCACTCTTCGTATTGTTTGGGGCAGGTCAATTACCTCATTTCCTTGCATTTCTTTTCTGATGCATAAACCATGCAGTATTTTCATTTTTCGATTGTTTATCACAAACGCTTTCCACTTTGTGCAGTTAAGTTAAAAATTTAAAAGTCTATTAGTATATGGCGTAGCTATTTATCTCTCTTTTGTGTGTGTCTAACAAGTAGAATCAAGCTCCTGTCATTGATTAATATAGAAGCTATTAATCAAAATCACGTGCACATATTCCCACCTATCCTCGAGCTGCCATGCGCGCTTACGTTATCCGTTTATCACACTATCTGAGATACTTTTCAGCCTTTTTGAAATTTCTAACTTTCGGAGGAGAATACAACCGGATTAGCATATGTACCAAAGAGTTGGCTAAGGTGTACTATACCGTGATTCCCGTGATATGATGAAGCCGTCAATCGAGGGCTATGAGGACATTGATCGTGGGATCGGCGCTTCATGAAGTCAAAATGACAAATGTTTCTGTTGCCATGAAAAACCGAAATTTATGTCCTCTTCCGCAAATTAAAACCATTTTAATTTTCTTTCAGACTAGTAAATGCCCTGAATGTCAGTTTTTCTGATACTATCAACAGAATCATAAGTTCATTTTCGGGTTGTTGGGTATCAATATTGAGGTAAAATCACGATATGGATCAAAAAATTGCAAAATCACTTGC